TTGACCTACTTAAAAATTGAAAATATTTCTCGAAATTTTGAGGTAGTCACCTTGAATTACCCTTGAATGACCTCTAATCGACCTTGACCTACTTAAAATTGAAAATTTGTCTCGAAATTTTGAGGTAGTCACCTTGAATTACCCTTGAATGACCTCTAATCGACCTTGACCTACTTAAAAATTGAAAATATTTCTCGAAATTTTGAGGTAGTCACCTTGAATTACCCTTGAATGACCTCTAATCGACCTTGACCTACTTAAAATTGAAAATTTGTCTCGAAATTTTGAGGTAGTCACCTTGAATTACCCTTGAATGACCTCTAATCGACCTTGACCTACTTAAAATTGAAAATTTGTCTCGAAATTTTGAGGTAGTCACCTTGAATTACCCTTGAATGACCTCTAATCGACCTTGACCTACTTAAAATTGAAAATTTGTCTCGAAATTTTGAGGTAGTCACCTTGAATTACCCTTGAATGACCTCTAATCGACCTTGACCTACTAAGTTTAAAATTTTCTTCGAAATTTTGAAGTATGTATTAGGAGGTATAATTTTAGGCGGCTTATCCGGTGACATCTATGGTTGAGTAGCTGAACTAACAATAAAGAAGGAAGAGAAATCTTTTTTCTCTTGATTAATGTCTAATCGACCTTGAGCTACTTAAAATATAGATCAGACGAAATTTAAATGACTAAAAAGCTACTCCGTTTAAATAAAAAATCGTTTTGTCAAAAAGGTAATAAATAAAAACGCAGATTTAAAATTAAATAGATTTTTTTTTATTAAACAAATAGATATCTACTATTTATTTGGATTATGATGCCAATGGAATGCTGGAGGAAGGCGCTTTAAGGTTGGATCTCATAGAATTAGTAAAAACAAAGGAGAAAAATAACAATTTCAAATTGGTACAAGGTCGGGAGTCAAAAGGAAGCCAAAATATTGAGGAACATTAAAACTAAGTGATAGTCACAATGTTACAAAAACTTAATTACAAAAAGATATAAATAAAAACTTTTCACTTATCAACTTTACGAATAGTGGAACCTAAAAAAAGTTCTAACGAACCAGTTACGAAAAACACCCTGTAGATTCAAGTACAAAAAAAAAATCTAGCTAAACAATACCAAGTTTTAGTTCAATAAAATATGAAACAATCTAATAATAACTAAAACTAGAACTAACATTGACATTAGAACTAGAAACATTCGGGCTTAACCACCTTTAGAGACAAAAATAGAAACAAAAATTAAATTTTTTAAATCAAATTAACTCAAAATAAATGAATCACTTCATTGATCCATTTTTGCCAACTTCACTAGCGCCATCTATACCCGCAACTAATTTTGGCAATAAAAAATCGTTGGCGGAAACCGCGTTAAAAACAAATTCGGCAATAAATCTCAATAAAAACAACCCTCAAATAAGTTGTTCTTAATAATAATAATCGTTGTGATAAATTAAAACAAATAAATCGGTGAATCAATAAAAATTAGTGAGTTAAACGTCTCCTTAAAAGGTAAGTTTTTTTACATCCCATTTAAACTCGACTTTTGGACCATCATTTTTTATTTAAACGACATCTTTAATTAATTTAATTTAAATCTCCCGCTCCAATCACTTCTCTACAGTCCAAAAGCAACTGTGCGTTAAAACTCACCGCTAACGGAGATTTTTTCGCCAAATCCGGAACACCAAAACCTTATTTAATTTATTTATTTAAATCCTATTAATTAATTAATCGGAATCGACTCACCGATAAGGAATCCTCCGATAAACGATGCGAAATAGCTCGTGTTGCTCCGGGCGTATTTCAATCCTCCAGAAACCAATTTAGTCCCCGGTAAAAGCGATAAAAACCCGCAGAAATCATCCATTATTTGGGTTAATTCATTATGGGCTTCGGCGTTGGAATTTTTCGCGTGTGAGGCCAATTCGTATATGAGTATTGTTGACCCCACTATAATCGCTAAAGCTCCGCTAATTGATTTTACGACATAACCTCCAAGAAATCCCGTTATACTTCCTTGTAGAATAACGTGAGTTTGTTTTGGTCTTGAATCATCACTAAATTAAAAAAAAAAAATTTAAATTTAATTTAAAAAAAAATTTTTTTGAGGTTATCTTTATCACTAATAAGATCGATAAAGGAAACTGTAAAATTTCATTTACGCCATCTATCGAGATTTTTTAAAATTATTTTTTTTTTTAAATTTTAACCAATAATATAAATTAATTCTAATTAACGATTGAATTAATTACAAATTAAATAAATTAATTACTCACTTCATTTAGAATAAATTTTGTGGTCCAAAAAATTTTTCACTCTTTCTCATTCTTGTCAACGTCATAAACATAAAAAAAATTGACTAATTTCATTGTCAATTAATTTTTTTAGTACTCAAAAACCCCCAATTTATTGAACGTATCCTCGATGGTCATCCCAATAAGAAAACCACCGAGGAAACTCACGCTAAACGTAGGGTTACATTTGGTGAAATCGATGTTACTCTGCGTGGACGTTTTCAAAAACGTTCCCAAAACGTCGAAAAATGCGAAAATCGGTAAAACCATCATCGATATTAAAATGTACTCTCTGCTAAACACTTCCAGGACTTCGAACAGTATTATTACAAGTCCCATAAGAAACGTGCTTGTTCTTGGTAGTTGTTCGGTGACGAATCCCGTGAAAATTCCGGAGATTAAACCGGAAGTTACTGAAGTTGCGTTTGGGTCCTTGAGATAACTGAAATGAAAGTAATTATTATTACAAATTTATTTAAAACAAATTTTATTACATCATTTTGTAGCAATTTTCACAAAGAATTTTTAAACACTCAAAATAATTACGTTGACATTTAAACGTCAAATTTTGTCAATTAATCCATTTCAAATGATAGTTTATATGAATACAAATATTTGATATTATTGACAGGTAATAATAATTTAAACCAAATTAACAATTTACCGCCTATATGGGAACTGCGTAGCCTTTGTGCGTAGCAAAGTCTAACGGACTATAGTCATTAATTTTGTTTTAAATTTACCGCCAAAATTAACGCACGCCTATTATATGTCAGTACGCTTCTATGTCTATCTCGGTTCGATCACCTTGCGCAAGCTATCTCTCTCGTTGGCTCAATCCATATTATATATAATCAAAGATACAGATAAATAAAAACCTGCCTAATAAAAACGCACATTTAAAGCCGGAACTTCCAACTTTTGATTGCTATTCAGCGCTAGAGATTGTTGTATAATTTTATTGAATTAAATCTAGAACTAACACTAGACCTAGAACTAGAAAGTATCTGAAGACGGCTGAAGTCTGAGGACGCATGGCTAAACCCGAATGTTTCTAGTTCTAGGTCTTGTGTTAGTTCTAGTTTTACACTAGCATTATCACTAGAACTAACACAAGACCTACAACTAGAATAATTCGGGTTTAGCCGTCTTTAGAGACGTGCGGCTAAACCCGAATGATTCTAGTTCTAGGTATAGTGTTAGTTCAACATAGTAACAGTGCTAGTGCAAAACTAGAACTAACACTAGATCTAGAACTAGAAACACGGCTAAACCCGAAACTTTCTAGTTCTAGGTCTAGTGTTAGTTCTAGTTTTGTTATTCAGAGCTAGATTGTTGTATATTTTTGTTGAACTAAGAGTAATTCTACTAGATCTAGAAACATTCGGGTTTAGCCGTCTTTAACGACGTGCGGCTACCAAATAATTCTAGTTCTAGGTATAGTGTTAGTTCAACATAGTAACAGTGCTAGAGTAAAACTAGAACTAATACTAGACCAAGAACTAGAATCATTCGGGTTTAGCCGTCTTTAGAGACGCACGGCTAAACCCGAATGTTTCTAGTTCTAGATCTAGTGTTAGTTCTAGTTTTGTTATTCAGCGCTAGATTGTTGTATATTTTTGTTGAACTAAGAGTAATTCTACTAGATCTAGAACTAGAAACATTCGGGTTTAGGGTCTTTAACGATGTGCGGCTAAACCCAAATGATTCTAATTCTAGGTATAGTGTTAATTCAACATAATAACAGTGCTAGTGTAAAACTAGAACTAATACTAGACCTAGAACTAGAAAAAATCGGGTTTAGCCGCACGTCTCTAAAGACGGCTAAACCCGAATATGATTCTAGTTCTTGGTCTAGTATTAGTTCTAGTTTTACTCTAGCACTGTTACTATGTTGAACTAACACTATACCTAGAACTAGAATCATTTGGTAGCCGCACGTCTCTAAAGACGGCTAAACCCGAATGTTTCAAGTTCTAGGTTTAAAGTTAGTTCTAGTGACAGTACAAGTATAAACTAGAACTAACACTATACCTAGAACTAGAATCATTCGGGTTTAGCAGTCTTTAGAGACGTGCGGCTAAACCCAAATGATTCTAGTTCATGGTTTATAGTGTTAGTTCTGGTGATAGCGCAAGTGTAAAACTGGAACTAACATTAAACCAAGAACTAGAATCATTTGGGTTTAGCCACAAGTCTCTAAAGACGGCTAAACCCGAATGTTTCTAGTTCTAGTTGTAATGTTAGTTCTAGTGACAGTACAAATATAAAACTAGAATCATTCGTATTAATAAAACGACAAAAACTACTTCCTTGCTTTTTATTAATATATATGAGACTAGTTTCGGGCGATATGCCCATCTTCAGCCAAATCTATAGAAACAAACCTATTCAATATGATCAACGCTTAATTACTGTAAGAAAGGTAAAAACTAATGGTAAAACTATCCTGGTTAAAATTTTACTATAATAACATCAACATTTATGTTTATCTCGATCGATTTTATAAATTAACACTTTAAATGTAAATTTCGCGCCACCACTTTGAATATTTTTGAAATGTAGGAAACATAACTTCAAAATTTCGACAAGTACTCAACACGCTGAATGTTTGTGTTTTAATTTTTCGTGGTTCTTTGTCGATGGATTTAAATTGTTAATTTATAAGATCGATCGAGGTAAACATAAATAATAAACATAATATAAAATCATTATTATTATTGAAAACCTTGAACCACGACCTCAGCAGCACAGCTGCCTCGGTTTCTAAGTAATACATCTGTATTAAAGAATACTTTAAGTTAAGAAATAAAGTCACTACCTCGGCAGCAAAGCTGCCTAGGTTTCTAAATAATATATTATTACTGAAAACCTTGACCCAACTGCTTCGACAGTATGGATTCTAAATATTTGTATTAAAAAAAGTTTACTTTATATTATACTAGAATCACTGCCTCGGCAGCACAGCTGCCTCGGTTTCTAAATAATATATTATTATTATTGAAAATCTTGACCCACTGCCTCGGCAGCATGACTATCTATCTCGGCTTTTAAGTAAAGTATTTGTATTAAAGGAAAGTTTACTTATATTAAGTACTACAATCACTGCCTCGGCAGCACAGCTGCCTCGGTTTCTAAGTGATATATTATTATTGAAAATCTTGACCCACTGCCTAGGCAGTATGGCTGCCTGGGCTTTTAAATAAAATATTTGTAATAAAAAAAAGTTTACTTTATATTAAGTACCAGAATTACTGCCTCGGTTTCTAAATGATATATTATTATTATTGAAAATCTTGATCCACAGCCTCGACTTTTAAGTAAAGTATTTGTATTAAAGAAAAGTTTACTTTATATTAAGTACTAGAATCAGTGCCTCGGCAGCAAAGCTGCCTCGGTTTTTAAATAATATATTATTATTATTGAAAATCTTGACCCAAGCCTCGGCAGCATGGCTGCCTCGGCTTTTTAGTAAAGTATTTGTATTAAAAAAAAGTTTACTTTATATTAAGTACCAGAATCATTGCCTCGGCAGCAAAGCTGCCTCGGTTTCTAAATAATACATTATTATTATTGAAAATTTGGACCCACTGCCTCGGCAGCATGACTACCTCGGTTTTTAAGTAAAGTATTTGTATTAAAGAAAAGTTTACTTTATATTAAGTACTAGAATCACTGCCTCGGCAGCAAAGCTGCCTCGGGTTTTAAATAATATATTATAATTATTAAAAATCTTGACCCATTGCCTCGGCAGCATGGCTGCCTCGGCTTTTTAGTAAAATATTTGTATTAAAGAAAAGTTTACTTTATATTAAGTACTAAAATCACTGCCTCGGCAGCAAAGCTGCCTCGGGTTTTAAATAATATATTATAATTATTGAAAATCTTGACCCATTGCCTCGGCAGCATGGCTGCCTCGGCTTTTTAATAAAATATTTGTATTAAAGAAAAGTTTACTTTGTATTAAGTACCGGAATTACTGCTTCGGCAGCAAAGCTGCCTCGGTTTCTAAATAATATATTATTATTATTGAAAATCTTGATCCACAGCCTCGGCTTTTAACTAAAGTATTTGTATTAAAGGAAAGTTTACTTATATTAAGTACTAGAATTACTGCCTCGGCAGCAAAGCTGTCTCGGTTTCTAAATAATATATTATTATTATTGAAAATCTTGACCCATTGCCTCGGCAGCATGACTACCTCGGTTTTTAAGTAAAGTATTTGTATTAAAGAAAAGTTTACTTTATATTAAGTACTAGAATCACTGCCTCGGCAGCAAAGCTGCCTCGGTTTCTAAATAATATATTATGATTATTAAAAATCTTGGCCCATTGCCTCGGCAGCATGGCTGCCTCGGCTTTTTTGTAAAGTATTTGTATTAAAGAAACGTTTACTTTATATTAAGTACTAAAATCACTGCCTTCGTTTCTAAATAATATGTTAGTACTGAAAATCTAAAACTATTGCCTCGGCAGCTCAGCTGCCTCGGTTTCCAATTCCGAAGAATTTGAATAAAATAAACGTAATTTAAAATTTTTTTTATTCATTGCCTCAGTGAGATAGCTAAAAGACATCCGCCGATAAAACAGATGGGATTTTTTTTGACGTGCCACTTTAAGTAATTTATTTCGGCGTGGGCGTGGTGTTTCAACGTGTCAACCAGGTCAATTTGAAATCGGTAACCCATGGCCGGAAGTAGATCGTACACGATTAACGTGACTGCCAGCATCTTGATCGTTATGTGATTGCCGATCGATGCGATACAAAATCCAGCCAAAAAACCAAACGTCGTCACTTTTAACACGAAAATTAAATCTGAAGAACTAAAAAAAAGTTTAAAAATCTTTTCATTTCAACTGTCAAAAATTTAAATGTCAAAAGTGACATTTAACCTCAAAATTTGTTTGCATCAAAATAATTTTTACTTACTTTTCGTCCATATTACACCCGAGAATACCAATTTTGAAAAGTAATTAAAATGATTGAGAAACTTCGTTTCGCCGGGAAGTTTTGGCAGAAAAAATCTTGTAACTTTCCCGGCGCGATTTCAGTTTTCTATTTTTTTTTTTATTTCTATTTCGTTTCCATTAAGCCCAAGAGAACCTTTTTCTCGGTTTTAGTTTTTAGTTCGACGCGCGTGTGACAGCCCCTCTAAGCCAGACTTTTCCACGTTGATTTTTGTTTACTCTTTTAGTACCAAACCACAATTTCCACTCCGGAAAGAAGCAACATCCGTAACGCGTCGTCGTGAATAATTTAAAAATCACCAAGAGTTCTCGAATCCACTTACAAAAGTGACGTTTTTATATAAAAAAAGTAAAATAAATATTAAATTTACCCCCAATAAAGTTGAGCTTTATTAAGCGTTTGAATGTAAACATCCCGGAAATTCATATTATATTCATATTTTAGCGCTTATTAAGAGCTTTTATCGAACGAGCATCCCCCCCGAATCCCCTTCTATAACCTAAAAGTCAAGTTTTAGAGGAGGGAGAAGTTTCGCTTTTCGTTTTCGCCGTGGACATAGTTTCAGTTCGGTTCGGAATTTTACACGGAAAAGTGATTCAAAAAATTAAATTTGTAACTAACTTCATTATGTTATTTTAGTCACCATTAAAATCGATAGATGGAGGTGTAATTGATTAATAAATTTTCGTGGAAAATCGTTAAAAAAAATTTTCAAAGTGGCTCAAAACACATCGAACCCAATTTTATCACCAACTACGAAACGAAATCTCGGTAAATAATTATTATTATTTCTTATTAAATCATAAGATAAGATAAAGATATTCCCGTTAATGCGAAATGTTATGTATATTAGATAAAAAATAAAAAGATGCCTGAAGACGCATGGTTAAAGCCGAAACTTTCTAGTTTTAATGTTAGTTCTAGTTTTAATTGCTATTCAGTGCTAGATTGTTGTATAATTTTATTGAACTAAAAATCGAACTAGCACTTGATCTAGAACTAGAAACATTCGGGTTTAGCCGCACGTCTCTCAAGACGGCTGAACCCGAATGATTCTAGTTCTAGATCGAATCTTAGTTCTAGTGACAATGCTAGATAGCGCTAGTTAGTACTAGATATCACTATTTTAATATTTTTATCGAACTAAAACTAGAACTAACACTAGACCTAGAACTAGAAAGTTTCGGGTTTAGCCGTGCGTCTGAAGACGCACGGCTAAACCCGAATGTTTCTAGTTCTAGTGTTAGTTCTAGTTTTACATTAACACAATCACTAGAACTAACACAAGACCTAGAACTAGAAGCATTCTGGTTTAGCCGTCTTGAGAGACGTGCGGCTAAACCCGAATGTTTCTAGTTTTAGGTCTAATGTTAGTTCTATTGACAATGATAGATAACGCTAGTTAGTACTAGATATCACTATATATATACAGGGTGTCTCAGCGAGACCGGTCATTAGACGTTTCTGGGGTTCTGGCCAAACAAAAAATTTGAGAATGCAGACTTAAGTATTATCAATTACATTCTCTTCATCTAAAATATTTTCAGATTTCTAGCACTTCCGGTTATACCGGAAGTCGCCACCTACTTTATTTTTTTAAATGGAACACCCTGTATATTTTTACATATTTGGATTTGTCTGTTTTGAAGGTTTATAAATAACTTTACTTTCTGCAATTTGATTCTGCCGTTCTCGAGTTATTCGATTTTTTCTAGAAAAATCTGCTCCAGCGGACATTTGTTCAAAAAATCATAAAACACTCAATTTTTGAGATATCAATTTAGGATTCAGAACATGCTTAAACAACATGATGGAGTATGTTTTGGTGCCGAGAACGGCTGTCTAGATCGTTTGGTCACTTTACTATGACACGTTATCTTTTCGAAGTTTGGAAGCACCATAACTTAATTTTTTTAAATGGCACCCCCCATATTTTATTACTTAGTCGTCTTCGGCGACTCATTTTACATCTTTTATATTCCATAAGTCCTATGCCTAACATTAATAGTTTGAGAAATAATTAGGGTTTTTTGAAAAATGCTCACATATCATATCGATATTAACCTAGTGTGCCATGGAAAACAAATGTTTAATGACTTATTGATAAACGTCAAAGTCTAATTTAGGTTGTTTGATGCTTGTGAGTCTAAAACCAGTTAAAATGGATATTAATAACGTAAATAATGTTTATACAAATGAAGAAATCCATAATTTATTTTTTGTGCACGAAAAGTGCGACAAAGTTCTTAG